AATATAATTTCATAGGAATAATATATACACTTAATAAATAATTATAGACACAGAAACACATTTATATACTGCTTCCTACCGTTGAGACAATCTCAGAGTGAGGAACCAAAAAACGAAAGTCTTAAAAGGTCAAAACCTTGATAAACATTTAACATACTTATCTTCTTAACTAAAATATTTACCCACAAATAAATAAAACAAAACTCTAGTTATTTTTTTCAGTTGATCTGAACAGTCCACGTCATTCAGACGAAAACGGTAAGCCGACGGTCACGATGCATCCACGTCATCATCACCACAAAAAATCCCCCGAAGAAGTTGAAACATTTCAAAGAAGAGATTTTTAATCGAAAGAGTGATGATGACGATGATGGTCGAAGAAATTATCCACATCCCATGAAGAAGACTCGAAATCATCAATCAAACTAAACGAGAAATCTTCAGATTCGTTTTCTCCTTGTTTCGAAGTCTCTGTGTTTGCTAACGTTGATTGGATTTTGATTTCTTCATCGAGAAACAAAAGGTCAGGGGCAATTTCGGTATCCCAAAAACATTCGCCGGCGAGAGAAAAATCCGGTAACAGATACGGATCCGGGAACACCAAACTCGCCGACGATTCTTCTTCTTCTTTTAAAACCGTCGACTTTTTCTCCGGAGATAGCTCGATCGGTTCAATCTCATGCTCTGTTTCCTCGTTGACGTTGAATCCAAGAACAGAGGTTGGAGAACGAAGGCTCTGGCGAAAATCTCTACCGGAATCGCATGCGGAAACCGTTTGGAGATCGATAACCGGCGTCGGCGTCGTCGTCGTCGGCGGAGTTAGAAAATTCGTTAGTGCTTTATGTCCTTTGAGATGAATCGCGGCTCTGTCGTAAGCAATAGCAGCTTCCTCCGCCGTGACAAAAGTCCCAAGCCAAATCCGAGTACGGCTCGACGGATCTCTAATCTCCGCCGCGAATTTTCCCCAAGGTCTCTGTCTCACGCCTCTGTACTTCTTAGGCTTCACCGACGTCGACACGTCATCAACAACAACGGCTTTCTCCGCCTTGTGCTTAGCTTTCCTCGCGGCGGTGGAGGAAGACTCACCTTGACAGAATCTAATCTCCTCCACGTATCGTTTCACTCGTGGAGCCATCGTGACGTTGTTGTCGTCGTCGTCGCTAGACGAGTCAGTAGCGAAAGGATCAGTAACAGTGATACGGACCAGTCTTGGAGAGCCGTTGGATGGTTTAGCTGCTACGTTTGTGACCGTACGATGCTCTGTGAACTTCACTCTTCTCGTTCGTCTCTCCATAGATGGAGAGAGTTAAAAAGAGAGTTTTTTTCACTGTTTTGAATTTGCAGAGAGAAAGAGAGAGCGAGAAGAAGAGTCAAAAGGTTAAAGAAGAATCGCCGTTTCTCAGGAACATCCTTCTTAAATACTATTAAGTCTTAACTATTTTTGGAGATTTTTATTTATTGTGATTTTTTCTATATAATTTACTGTCTTTTTGTTTTGTTTGACTAGTAGTAGTTAATTAGATTTTAACTGTTACAGAGAAATTGATGCGTTTTCAAACCGGTTTTAACACTAATCATATGGTATGTGAGTATGACCCAATCAAAACCCATTCAATCTTATAACTTAAACGTATCTTAAAATATAGTTGGTGAAAATGACATAATTTATCAAAGCTTAACCTAATGAAATTCAATCCGGTTAATGTAGTTTATAAAACCGGGAATTAGATTTGGATTTAATGTAAAAAAGGAGATAAAAGAGGGAGGGGGATTAAGGCGGTTTCGTGGCGGCCAATGGGGGATCCAGAAACGGCTTTCCGCATCTCTGATTGAGACGTTAGATTTCTGACACGTGGTAGTTACCGTACCGAAAGTAGAGCCAATTGTCCTACTCTATAGCTTGGTCTCCAAGCAACTTTTCACTCTCTTACGCGCGGTCTGTTTTACGTTTTCTTTACGCGCCTGCTAGTGGACCCTACTCATGCGAGATTGGTCACGAGTATGTGTCAATTCGCATTGACCCAATATGGACATTGTGAAGTTTAATGGTAATGAATCTAACGATGTGTTTGAAAGAGTAATAATATAGTAGTATTTTTTAAAAGGAAAATCATGATCATTTGCTTGGAGACCAAGTCTCTTATCAGAAACTTTATTAGAGAGAGCTATTAAAAAGGTAACTAAATTAGATTTCCATAGTTAATGGTTGAGCTTTGACTAGATTTGGTCCTAAAATAATAATTTAAAAATAAGGTTTGTTTTTTATTAAATCGATAATATTCTACAGTTTAATATACCAAATTAAAATAACTTACAGTAACTTATTTCCTAAAACAAAAAGAAAAAATATACTAGTAATATTTTTGAACCTTATATAACCTACACGAATTCACTTGTGATCTTTAAAAAAGATAAATGTGATTTTAAGGCTTTGTTTTACGTGGGATCAGTCGTGTACTCTTGTTAAAAGTTAGACCTTAAAATATAACAGTCGGTTGATATAATTATAATAGTATATGGAACATTAAATTGCATGACATTGGTTAGAACCATAGTCGTAGTAGGTACTAGTAACTAGGTAGAGAGTGGTCTCTCTTAAATTGTCTAATATGGTTTTGTATACTTTTTAATACAAACATACAGAGAACAATAGAAGCAAACCTTAAGTAAATAATTCCATCATCGCCTCCGTCACCAACCCGTCATTTTCATATACATCACTTTGCATTTCATTTGCCGGCATTGCACACGTAACTCCCGACACGTTGATACTAGTATCAATAAATTGAAATTAATCTAGATACTCATACATACATTAAAATAAAATAAAACAGAGTCAACAAGAAAAGCCTAGACTTTTTTAAAAAAAGAGAGTCCATTTTGAGCTATACTTTTGAAGGGATCTCACTCTTAATTCTCATTGCATTCGCTCCGGCTTCATATACTAGAAAGTTTTTAATTTCTATCTGTGTTTTTACGCTTTTACCCTTAAAATCTCACTTAATTCACAAAAAGGAACCTAAAAGCCCTAATCTTTAGGTTGTCGACACTCTTTTCAGTTCTCTCGACGCCGTCCATCACCCTCCGTCATATCGCCGCCGCAAGTACAGACAGAGGTAAATCTCGTCTCTTGTTCCTTGTCCTGGGGATCAGAAAGTATCAAACTTGTTCTGTTTCTGTCTTTCCTTGCTCTCATCCTTTGATTATCTCTACCTAGAGTTCACAACAATGGAGTACGTAAACCCTGAAGGTCTTCGATTAGATGGTCGCCGATTCAACGAGGTATCTTTGCATCTCTATTCACTGTCTTTGTTTGCCACTGCCTTCACAAGTTAATTTTCCTATTCGTAATGAATCTCAGATGAGGCAAATCGTAGCTGAAGTTGGAGTTGTTTCTAAGGCTGACGGGTAAAACTCAAAATCTGGTTCTTATCTTTTTTTCATCTCAGTTCTAAATTTGGCACTTTTATATGAATAAAAATTCCACCTTTGTTTCTAGTTCTGCTGTCTTCGAGATGGGTAATACCAAAGTAATTGCAGCTGTTTATGGTCCAAGAGAGGTACTTGATTACTCTTTTTTAGACCTATCAAGATTGATGCTTTAATTGTATAATTCACCGAATTGGTTTATTTCTGTCTGTTTAATTTTATCTCTGTGCTCCTTCAGATTCAAAACAAGAGCCAGCAAAAGAAGAACGACCATGCAGTGGTATGTATCTGGTTTGATCTTGTTTCGTATTGTTCTTGGTGAAAAGCTTTGTGAATTTGAAATGCTTATGGCTAATTTTATGTTTTGGTAGGTGCTGTGTGAGTATAGTATGGCTCAGTTTAGTACTGGTGATCGTAGAAGACAGAAATTTGACAGGTTACATCTTACTATATAGCTGAAAGACTCTTTGCTTGTTCTTTCGAAGATCATTAAATTTTGAATCTTTGTGTATTATAATGGTCAGGCGATCAACAGAGCTATCTCTTGTCATCCGTCAGACAATGGAAGCTTGCATATTAACCGAATTGATGCCTCATTCTCAGGTTTCCTTGACGAATTCCCGCGAAATTGAAATCAAAATTTGCATATTTCTCTGTTTTGGCTTGCTTCTTGATGGATTGTTTCCTTTATGCAGATTGACATTTTTCTTCAGGTTCTACAAGCTGATGGAGGTAAAATTAAACTAACCCTCTGTTCTGCAGTTTTAGCTTTCGAGCTCTTTCAGTCTCTGATCCGCCATTAGTGTTATGTTCTGTAATCAGGAACAAGATCAGCTTGTATCAATGCTGCGACTCTAGCTCTCGCAGATGCTGGAATTCCAATGCGTGATCTTGCTGTTTCATGTAGTGCTGGGTATTTAAACAGTACTCCTCTTCTAGATCTGAACTATGTTGAAGACAGTGCTGGAGGAGCTGATGTAACCGTCGGTATTCTACCCAAATTAGACAAAGTGACACTCCTTCAGGTTTTTCTTCAACTCTTCATATTACATTTATCTACATTCACAATCAGATGTTTCTAGATGTTTACGTATTGGGTTTAATATGTAGATGGATGCGAAGTTACCGATGGAAACATTTGAGACAGTGTTTGCATTGGCTTCTGAAGGTTGTAAGGCAATTGCAGAGAGAATACGCGAGGTAACAATGTAGTTCCGAATCTTTCTAAGGTTTTCATTTACCACCATTGAAAAGCCTTCTTTGTTTTCTAAGTCTTTGGCTCTTCTTTCTTTGTGAAGGTACTTCAAGAAAACACCAAACAGCTAGAGTATCGCCGAGCTGCATAAACTTTAGAGTTAGAGAAAAAACATAAAAGCTCCAAGATTTTTGTTAATTAGATATTGCTGTTGTTTTTGGAAGTTGAGGATCAAAAGCTAGAAATGCAAAATGGTTTATTTGAGTATCCAAAAATACAAAAGAAAAGTCCAACTAAACCGGAAATATCAATCACTTTGAAATTTTTTTTTGGTAAACCAACTTTAAATATCAATCACTTTGATTTATAGATTCAATTCATTTGAATGAGAAGTCGGATTGAACACACCTTGTACACACATTCTTACATTAAGCCGAGGAAAAAAAAAGACCAGAGGCTTTTACTGTCCCTACATCACGAGACTGGTCTGAGAAATCACCAGCTCATAAGCTCTACTGTGAGAAAACGAGAATCAACAAAATAAAGAGAATTAATAGAAACGGTGCCTCTGCTCTTCCACTGTTGCATTACAAAAAAAGCTGCAGAAACTGCAGAGTAGAGTCAGAATCCTTTGCTCTGTAGTTCGAGTTGATCGAAGCAGAAACTGGATTTAACCGCGGTCAACATTAGCCGGCCGGTCCATTCTTCTCCTGGCTTCAAAGTGATCGGTCTCTCAACTGCTGCACCATCCACACAAAGCATGGTTTTGTACTCATCATCCCCAAAATCCGCCATTGTTTTCGATTTCTTCTCCCATGGATTCCACACCACTGCAACCATCCATCACAAATAATGAATCATACCATATACAAACAAGTAATCGAAACGACTTGTTGTGTGATTCTTACCAGTGTCTGGAAGACCTTCTTTTCCGATAACATATGTTCTTTTCCGTTCATGATCGAGAACTGCAACTACCGTTGGTGATCTAAGGTAAGTCCGGTCCATCTGAATCACAAGAAACATCTGATCAGAGGTAACCGAGCGAAGATACTTGTTTGTCATCGATGATTGCAGAGTCTTTTAAAGGTTTACCTCGGATTCAAAGGTTATTGCATCGCCTTGTTCTGTCAAAAGCTCTCTTTTGCTGAGGTTGTCTAAGTAGTCCAATGTTTCCAACCCTTCAATTCTCACTTCACTGTAGAGAAGAAAAGTAACATTGTTTGGTTATAAAGGTTTCACCAAACACTGAATAATCTTTTGCTGACTTATTGAAGAGGAGTAATTTATACCTTATGTCAGAGACAGAGAGGTAAGTGTGATATGCAAATGAGAAGCTAAAGGGCTTGCCATTGATGTTTCTAATCCTAGAAACTAAGGTTAAGTCGCCATCTACAGCAAGCGAAACCCTGAGACGGAACTCGAAACTGCAAGGGAAAAAGCATAGAATTTTAGAATCTCTGTAAAGAGAAAAATGATGAAACAAGTGATGGACATTACCTATGAGGCCATAGCTTTAAGTCATCTTCTGATGGTTTCAAAAGAAGATCAACAAAGGATTTTCCAGTGGATTCGTTTGAGTAAAGTGGAGGTGGATTCTCATCGATAACCCAAATTTTGTTCCTTGCAAACCCATGTTGATCCAGTAATCCACAATCACCAAACTTCACAAATACACACACACACAAAATTCAATTACAAAGTGATCAATAAAAGATATCAGTGAGCTCTACTAGTAAATTATACCTGAGGATAACAAATCTGAATCCCTCCACGCATTGATTTTGGAGGTTTGAATAAAGCCTAACAGATTTACAACAATATAAAAAATCAGATTTTGAATTTTCAGCTTCTTCACGATGTATTTGTAGTGTCTGCAGCATACCTTGTTGCTGGTGAAAAGAAGCTCTTCTCCTTGTTCATTCCTCCATGAAACCACTTGTCCTCCATGTAAACTAATCTGGAAAACCAAAAAATCAAAACCCAAATTGGTTTTAAAAAAAAAAAGCTCGAATTATTCAGAGAAGAAGGTTGGAGAAAAGAGTGAAGACCTTGGCAGAAGCACCATGTGGGTTTCTGAGAAGGACTTGGTCAACGCCATTCCAATCTTTGATTATCTCACTTGCTTCTTTTTGATCCCACACTGTTGCGTAATGACCCATTTTCTTCTTCTTCTTCTTTGAATTTTCAGAATAAGAATTTCTGATTTTTGACAGCCAAAAAACGACAAAAGAGCTTTTCCTTTCTCACAAAAATCTCATGAACACGACGTTTATTAGATCTGGAAATCTATCTATAGCTTCATTTAGTACTTACTCTCTCCACTCAAGAAAAATAAAAACATTTTAAAAAAAAAGAGAGGAAGAAGAAGAAGAAGAACACATGGCGATAGAGAAAGCAAAACAGCTATCTTGATCTTTAGTAGATTAATAATACTATAAGATAACTCTCATTTTTTCAATTTATATATGGGAATTAAATAAATATAAAAAAAAAAATCTCAGGTTTGCTTTATTAAATGGGATCTGAACAAAAGAATAAACTAGTTGAAGAAGAAGAGATTATGGAAACAGTTTGATGAACTTGAGAGTTTATCTTTAAAGGAAGAGATTAATTAATTGGTGAATTTAAGGAGATGGACGACGAGGCTACGTGCATTGCTTTCAGATAGAAATGGCGGAAACTGAACTCAACTTTCGTCGGGATACAGATGAAACTCTTTATTGTCATTTATTTTTATTTACTACCAAGTTACTCCCTCCGTTCGAATAGTTGTCGTTTTAGAGAAATTTTTTTGGTTTTTAATTAGTTGTCGTTTTCAGTTTTCGATGCAAAATTTATTACTTTTTTATTTTTTATATTTATTTTTATTATGCAACTTGATTTACTATTGGTTAAATTATGTTTAGGTAAATAATTAATGATATTTTTATATTGAAAAACTAACAACATTAATAGTTTCTTAATTTTTGTGCATATAGTTAAAACGACAACTATTCGAAAACGGAGGGAGTATTATTTTATTTTATTAATGTCCAACCTGTCATTAATTAATTAGATAAGAGATACAAACATAATTTGAGGTTAGAGGAAAAGAATAAACACCTTAATTAGTGGGACTAGATTCTTAGATCATCTCCATTGGGAGTGTAGACACTCTCCAATAAAACAGAATAAAAAATTAAAAAATGAAGAGAGAAGACAGACACTGTTTCTCATTTAAGAAACTCTGAGACACCTATTTTTACTGTTGTCTTCTTCTGATTGGTTTAAATAAATAATTAAATAATAAAATAATTAAATAATAAAAAATTAATATTATTTTATTTGTTAGACACAAAATAGACTGATTGAGATGCTCTTATAGTATAATAAGATTTCTGTGACATTGTACCACGTGTACGGTATGGAATCAACGGTCAATATGATTTGAAAGTTTTTGAAATTGATTGCGGGAATTTAAAATAGTCCAACTCGAACAACATAGGCATGGCCCAAATCCAAAGTCATGTCTATTTCAATCCAACTAAGTAATTTAGTTTAAAATACACAAATCCAAAATGAGACGATGTAGTTTTGATAGACGAGAGTTAGGTATATTCTTTCTGTTCACAACTTCCTCCTAACAATAATCTATGCTAAGAATTTCATTGAAGAGTTAACTTATACTATAAACCAACCAAAGCCAAGAGAGTAGATAGAAAAAAAGAACGCATTTACATTCTTCTTATAACGTTGTTGTCGAAACGTTTTTAACCTTACTTTTATAAGCTTTATTAGTCTTCTTCAAGCCTTATAAAAGAGAAGAAAAAAAAAGACAAGTTAGAGGGAGAGAGAGAGAGAGATCTAGCAGCAGGTTAAGGAAAGAGAGAGACAGTGGCATTGAACAAGGAAACGGTCACTAAGGATCTGTAGACCTTTTGATGGTAAGCTCTGCTCTGAGATGGAGAATGCCATTGATGAAGTATTGACTATCCTCTGCTATAAAAGACGTCCATGGTACCCCAAACAGGTTTCTGTAACCTACTGCTTTCCCTCCTGTGAATGTGTAGTTCCCTTTGTATTTGCTTATGAAATCCTCCGCTGGCTTTGACCTCGCCGAGAATTCATAGTCCACTCCGAAACTCACCGACCCTTTCTCCTGCATCCCTAGGAACAGCCCGAAACAGTGGAACGAGCTCTGTTGGTCCATGTTGCAGTGAGCTGACAGGAAAAACCCTTGACCTCCCAAGTGAAAGGCCTGCGAATACACTCTACCCGACGGGAACAATCCCCCACATTCTTCTCTTTTCAGGTCTAGGTAGACTACGCACTGCGGTCTTGGAAGCTCAAACTCGACGACTTTGACGGGTCTGTATTTGTAAGCCCTCTCTATCAGGCGGCGGTTCAGGGATGCAGATTCTTCGGAGGCTAGGCTACGTTGTCTGTGCGGGGCTTCTGCTTTGAAGAAAAGAGCTTCTAGAACAAGCTTGGATGCTATTTCATGCTCAAAGTCACTGCAAGTCAGTACTTTCTTCAGCTTTCGGCATGTCATGAATGGGAAGCGGATGGAGAGTGCAAGGCGTGACCCGAGAATCTCTCTCCGCTCTTCCAAACAAGGGTATTGTGCCCTTGCCCACTTCAAGATAAAATCATAAACTGCATCCTCTGATGCGATTTGGAGATCATCGCTTGATAGAATTGCCTCAATTCCAGCCAAAGGTAGAGTCATAACCTCCTCATGAAACCTGAAAAAAAAAAGATGGACCATGACTTATAAGAATCGACCCACCATCTCGTGTGCTCTTGATTAGAGTAATATCACGGAAATGCAGTCAAAACTATTATATGTAGTTTCAGGGGGTCTTACTTGGTAATATCCTTGTAGCGGGCAGCAAGGAACTGTTTTGCAGCATCAGTTAAAGGCTGAACAGCTTTGGCCATTAGAACACTAGAGGGAAGCTCGAGATAGAGCAGCGCAGACTCTGGAGTCATAGGCATATTACGGAGAAGTCTACTACAGTACCTCATGCAAGAGGCAACTTCAAACTTATCAGCAGCCATCAGGACATCTAATAAGGCAGGTGCTGTGGTGACAGAGACCGCATTGCTATACATAAAGTTTAAAAGCTCCATCAAAGCAGCTTCTTCTGTAATACACACAAAGTAGGGTATGAATGTAAAATCAATCTAAGAATCTCCAAGTTACCGCAACAAACTCAAATCAAAACCATCTATTGATTCTGTGGAACTAATAGAGAACGGAACAACAAATGCAAAACCATTTTGTGTCTAGTCTGATAAAGTAATAAAACGTTCAGATAGCTTCTGTTGCAATGGCGTACCTGATGCATTAATTCTAAGAGTGACATGCCTTTGCTCAGATTCCCTCATTCCATTGGAGAACAACTATTAACATTTCCGAGAAGAAAAAAGAAAACAAATGGATTAAGAGTAAGATACACATGAGAGCAAAAGTAAACATCAATCAAGAACCTATAGATACCTTGTAAAAGAAAGGGCTTTTGGCAGCTAATATAGGAGAACTAATATGAAGTTCTTTAACCCTAACAACTGTAGAACAATCCATTCCCCAGTTTGGCTCACTAGAAGTTTCCTCTTCATCACCTAAAAATTGAAAATAAGAACTTCTCAGAACTAAACACAGTCTCTTCTTCTAAAGCTAAAACTACCACAGAAGGATGTTGCTTAATAGTAGTACCAGATAGAGCTTCTTCAACCATTGCCTCTCCTCCTTCATCATCAAGATTTTCACCACCAGGACATCCATCCATGTCAGGTTGTTCATCAGTTAAAATCTGCTCCTCAGGACATGCCACAATGTCTGAAATCGTGACTGCAAATGAAGTGACAAAATTAAAACCCAAAAAAGACTTCGACTTCAAAAACCAAAACCCTAAACAAAGCAACCATACGAGCAAATTATAACCAGTACATACCACCACCAGATTCCTTTTTGATATCTTCCCTTCTTCTTTTCCGATGACGAGCCCAATCAGCGATACTCGTACACCCTTCAACATCGGACCTAGAATCAGAAGGTCCACCCATGATCTCGATCCGAAGCAAGCGATCAGAGAAGTTACTGTCGTTAAAAGCGAATCCAAAATCGCCGTCGGAAGAAGAACCATGACGAGTGAAATCAGGATCCATTTGGGTTTTGGGATCGAACAGATCCGTATTCTCATTAGTACCTCTCATCACCTTTCTTCAACTATTTTCCTCAGCCGGAGAAACTGATCGGAGAGCTTTTGGTTTTGGAAAGAGAAAGTTGAACGTCTTTCTTTTCAGGTGAGAGAGAGTAGGAGACGAAAGGCTCTACGAGACCAAGTACTTTTGATTGTCTTCTTATCTTTTCTAATAACCGGTTTTGATTCCGTTCGGTTTGGTTCGTGCTGATGAACCAATATTTCCCTGGTTTTCTCTCGTGACATTTTTACCCTTTTTTTTTTTTTTTTTTTTTTTCAGTTTTAATGTTACTAGGATACCTAGTAGCTTTGAGCTCCTACAAAAAATTTAAATTTCATCTAGGAATCAGATATGTACGTATAAAAGATTAGTTTAAATTTATTTGTTTAGTTCCTAATGTCTTTACGAAAAATCCGTGAAAAACAATCTTTCAAAACTTTTTATAGAACGTTGAAAATCGGGGCTTTAATTCTTAAGAATAGAGGTGGGTTTTGAGAACTAGTGGGCACTATGTGTGGTCAATTTAGATGTTAGTTGTCCAAACCAAAATATTTTTAAGAGTTTTTTAACCTCCCCCATTCACAATTTAACTCGTTAACGCTTATTTTGGAAAGCCAACGCTGGAAAATATTTTTTAAAAAAAACAACACTAATGGTGTTAAAATCGTATTTGTCTTCTAATGGTTGAAAATTTTCATAATTAACAAACACATATATGTTGCTAGTTTGGTATATTTAGGTCTTGGATGATTTGATGGGTCAGAGTAATTGTCTAATTTTTCTTTTACTTTGACACTATGAAGGCACAAATTAATTTTGCTTTTAGTATGTAGAATCCATATATCACTTCGTCAACTTCTACACGATTTATTATTAGTGAATGACATTTTATTCGGTGTTCAAAAAAAAAAAAAAAGACATTTTATTCCATTCTTTAATTTAAGTAAATTATTAAAGCTTTGGAAAATTGAAAATAAGTGACCTCTAAGAAAATGATAAAATACAATAAAATAGCTGTTGTCCATTACCTGTAAACCTAACACTGCCAAACCTGACAAATCCCATCACGAAAATAGGTCCCAATTTTATACAAGTACAGAAACATAAATCTTTAAAATAATTTACAACAATAATATAAACATTATAATCACTATTAATATTTGTAAAAAAAAAGAAAGAACAAAATCATTATTTTATCCTCTAGGAACAGCAACAAGACAACCTCCAGTTTCAGAATCCGACCCATTACATGAGATATTGTGGGCCACATGTTTGAAAATGTTCTTATATTTCATTGAGAGATAGAGAAGGGTTCGCTTGATCAAATAAAAGTATCTGAGGCTCATTTTATAAATTTATAATTAATAGAGTACCAAGTTGCAAATAAAACATTCCAAAAATTAAAAACATTACCGTATCATCTTCATCAAACCGCCGGCGATTTCTCTGTGCAAAAACAATCCAGTAGAGAAACAAGAAACCCAAAAGACTAAGACTTTTGCAGACCCATTTGCTTCTTCATTGCAACTACGGAGCAATCTCGAGTCTTGGTTCGAAGCAGAACCCAGTAAAGAGCTGAAGAGGGAACTTCTTAGTAACAGGACATTTTTGAGACCATCTCCAGTACTTGAGATTCATGTCGAAAGTGAGAAGCGCGGGAGATCCATAGCTTTGAATGTAAACCAAATCATCGGTGCCACTACTCGCGAAAACCTCGTCGAATTCACCAAAACCTTGGAAGAATCTTTGAGGCATTTTCGCCATTTCTACCCATTCTTTCCCTTTCAGAACCCAAATCCCAATTCCTTTTATAACCTCTGGTCGATCGTGTTTCCCGATTCCTCCAACGATCACAAGCCTCTCTCTTAGATTCATCAATCTTCCGCAGGTTAAAGAACACGGCATTGGAATGAAACTCCTCATCAAGATGCCGCTTGACGATGATCCAATCGAGGATAGATTGGAAGCAATCAAGCCGTGGCGATGATCTGAGCCTCCCGTGGAGTAAATCATGAAGTAAAGAACATCGTTGCAGATCACACTCTCGTTTCCTCCTCTCCATCCGGATAAGACATCGGTTACTGATGTTGTCCAAGTCATTGTTTCAGAGCTGTAGAGATGAATAGAGATATCCCATTGGAAGAAATTCCCAGTAACTTGCTTTGATTTCACTATCGAGACTGAGTAAGTCCGGTTTCCACGTGTTACTGCTCTGTTTGATTGGTTAGCTCGGTTCACGGAGGTAGACATTGCCGTGTAATCTGTCGATCTGTGACCGGGAGGTTCAATAAGCCTCCTCCATTGTTTGGTAATTGGATTTGAGACATAAATCTTGTTTCTGCAATCATTGTCCATGAAACAGACCAATCCACAAGAGGAAGCAACAAACCAATTCGATGTTTCGATACAAGGGAGATCGAAACTGTACCATTTCCGGATAATGGGGTCATAAGCATAACCCGATGGATCATCCGTGCTAGTGAACATGAAGTACCAAGGCCTTTGAGAAACAGAATTGTTGGAGAAATTACATAAGAACCTCCGAGAAGATACAATCTCGTTCCATCTTTTGCAGACAGTACCAGCTCTGAAAATGCTTGCAATGGGTAGAAACGAGAGGATTCGTTCTAATAAATCGTCAGGGAGAAGAGAATCCATTGAAAAGGTTTCAACTTTGGCTTCATCATCGCTCTGCTCACGGTATGATTCAGCTTCAGGGACATAAGTAATGTAGCTGTACGGATAATTAGTCCAAGACGTTTCTGCTTCCATTCTCAAGAGCCACTGAAACAACACAAATAATAAATCAATTTATAACCTTTTTTTTAACATATCCATTACCAAAAGAACACATAAAGATTCAAAGCATTACGAATCTGAATCCCACAGATCATCTATTTCCACAAGACAAGAACCTCTTCAAGTCCAATTTTTGTAAGGGAAATGAACAACATTACATAAATCAAGACAAAACCTTTTCAACCAGATTTGGTTTAGCAGACATGCATAGTGTCAAATCGAAAATGCAGAAGACGAAGAAGAGAGATAATATTAAGACTTGGTCTAACGTTGCAATACATTATTCAGACAAAAGAACAACAATAAAGGAGAAAGCTTTTGTCATCCTTTCAACGTCGAGATTCCACTGGTGAGAATTAATACATAATTTAGATGTTAGGTATACAAAAAAAACGTTCTCTTCTTCTTTTTTTTTTTTTTTTTTTTTTTTTTTTTGTGAAAATGAAATTAGGCTATACGCAGACATCAATCGAACCTCTGATAACAACATACAGCATAAATACAAAAACCCATCATCAATCATAGATTACGAACACGGAACAGATCAATGAACCACTCAGAAATGAAAACAGAGAGTGAAATCAAACATAAACCCATCTCTATTCACTACACACCTTCGACTATGGATACTCGTGGGTCTCTGAATCTTCCGAATTCTCGAGATTCAAACCGATAAAAAGTATCGAAATTTTTAATCGATTTGCGAGAGGAAATGCGGGTTTCGTGGATCTCGGTTTATTGAGAAGACCGAAAAGATGAGATTTTCCTAGAAATAGAAGATGGAAATGAAATGGGTTTCTCGGATTTTTGGATTTAAGAGTAAAAATGAGGTAAAAGGGTTCATCAAAGAAAACGAGAGCGAGAGAGAGATTGAGATTGAGAAAAATCTGGTCTTTATAGAAGAAGAGACGTTTCGTGGTTCGATTGTAAATACGAATGAATGATACAGACAGACAGAGAGACGAAAGATAAACGAAAGGGAAAGACAAAAGAGAGAAGAGAGCAAGCGCGAGGTAGAGAGATGAAGAGTAGACGTTTTTGCTGTTTTTTTCTTCTTCTTCTTTTTTTTTCCATTTCTATTTTGAGGGGAAATGGGTTTAAATAAATAAATTGATTTAAGTGGAGGCGCGTGTCAGCGCGTGTTACTTCCTTAATTATATGTGAAGAATTAAATAATACTAATGTAACTATTTGCGAAAAAATAAACAAAAAATTAGTTCGTGGGAACTTACAAACACAAAAACAATGAAATATCATAACATTACACCAATAATAATGCTGTCTTACTCATCAACTAACTTTTTATAAAATAATTATGATTTTTTAAAGCGGCGTTATTAATATTATTGTACCTAGACTTATGTGATTGTTTCGTTAATTTTATTTGATCAACATATCGGACTAGTGATATAAGTTTAACAAAATATTTTTAGCAGTATATTATAGGCAATAGCAATACCCAATTGTAATTAATTTTTTTTTTCTGTTTTGACAGCAATCGTAGATAGTTTAACTGTAGGTTCTAATTAATTAGAAGGGAGATTTGTCAAAATAGGCACTTTTCCGAAGGCCTATTCGAATTTAGGCACTTTGTACTGTACAAATAAATAGTGCAAAGAAATTCAACAATTTAGGACGATTTTGCCTTTCGTAATGAAGGGAAATTTGAAATCTGATAAATCAAGCGTGTAAGATGACGTCATAGAAGAGATAGAGCTCTAAATTGAACAAATTTTGGAATCAGAAGATGAATAATCATGTGACTCAGATCTTCTTTTTTTTTCCTGCCATTATATCTTCGTATTTAGTACATCATTTTCTTTACATTAGTTCTGAACACATGACCTAATTTATGTACAAACACTCGTTTATTATTCTTATACACATACATCATTCACAAATTTGCACCATTTTTTTCTACTTTATGAGATGCTAATTGTGTAAGCGAGAAAATGCTAAACCCTAGTTAAGGACGAGTGAACCCAAACCGATTAATGTAAAGTGGTTCATTCATAAAGAGTACTTAAAAAGGAAAACTATACCCTAGCATATTGTAAATGAGGAACTCAAACACAATGTCTAAACTAGCTTATGAGATGATAACACTAAACCCTAGTCAAGGACTAGTGAACCCAAATAGATTAGTGTACAGTTTATCATCCATTCTCTTATCCTCCTAGACGTGCTCCATCTCTTGACACGACAAGTTCTTCTGATTCTGCAAGGAATAAAGCATGTCATGTGTTCACTATCACAAAGGAAGCAGATATGCATGATCACTAATAAACACTTGTGAATTACAATGCAATGTTAGAGAAATACAATGAAACAACAAATGCAAATGGTTAAGGAACCAACAATTGCAGTTAATGATAGTGGTTATGCTGGATTTGATGTTAACCTTCAGTTGGTTATGGATTGAGAGCTTGGCACACTCGCATAATACATCAAACATTGTATCCACTTTCATAGACAAAACAGAAGGATATTTCATCTTAGTATGCAAGATTCTTATTATGAAACAAAGAAGTACGACAACCTAACCGATTTAAACAGTGCTCAAAGATTGCTACATAAAAACTCACACTAGCTATAGAAACTAAAGGAACAAACCTCATCTCTTTGATGTTTGATAAGCCCAACACTCTGTGGATTCTGTATTAAACTCAATACTCATCATCCTCATCCTCTACAACTTCAATCTCCAAAATAAGCCATAAACTTAGAAGCAAAAAAAAGGCAAACAAACAAAAATTAGAAAACACAGTACACATAGCATAAAGAAGACTTAAATCACACATCTCAAATCTAAGCAAAATATGTAAGTAATTTTCTCCAATTCAATCTAGAAGCACTTGTAACATATCACAAGCCTAAGAACTAATCACAATCAATAAGAATCAATAAGAACAACATAATTTCCTTTTTAGCTACCAATTCTAGCAAAACCCAGAAAATTTACAAATGTCCAATACTTAAGCAAATTGACTGCAAATTTGAATAGAAGCTTGAAGAAATTCACCTGAATCGGAGGCAAAATAGAATACGATGATCATCGAGGACGAAAGGAGCGTAGGAGCAAAGGATGTCGATGGCGGTCTCAATGTCACCGTATTCAAGCGAGTTTCGGATCCGGCGAATGATCAATCTGGAGTGATAAGAAGAAGAGGGAATAGAAGGACAGGAAGAAGAAGCATGAAAGAAGTCGCCGGAAAACAATCAACCACGAGGTGAAGCTTCTGAACTCTTGTCATCACTTGATATAAAAAATAGACTTCGGAAATTGATATCTTGACTTCCTATAATGGCAAGACGGACCTCAAATGAGGCGATTGAAAACGTCAAAAACGCCGGCAACGGAATAGCCGTGAGCAAAGCCGGATACACCGGACGGCGAGATGGGATGGCGAGATGGGATGGCGAGATGGGACGACAAAACCGGACCACGTCCGGATCCATAAGCCGGCAAGGCAAGCCGGACGGCCAAAACCACCGATCAAAATCTCTCTCTCTAAAAGGTTTAGAGAGATAAGAGAGGGGGTTAATTGTTTCGTGACTAGAAAAAGTTGCAAACGAAGAAGACAGAGTAATGACGTCAAAAACCAAGGGTAGAAGCGTCTTCTCACATAGATAGAGTGCCTAAATCCGAAAGGCATTTGGGAAAATGCCCAAATCCGAAAGTCATTCTAAAATTAATGCCTTTTTTTTAAATAACTTCTAATTAGAAAGTAGTTAAAATAAAGGTTTTATTTAATACTATGGTATTTACTCTGGCAACCAGAGGGGGTTAGCTGAAAATGACATACCACATGAGGTAACCTTTTTGTCATTTTTTGTTTAAATAATTTATTTGAAAGTAGAATAAATAAGTGATCAAAATAAAATTTTATTATTCATACCAAAAAAAAAAAAAAAAAATTTATTATTATTACCTTTAGTAATTATACTTTGCTTTTCAAACACTGAAAGGTCTGTCTCTCTACTTTCCTTAGCCTAGACTTCTCGCAGTTTCTCAGTGGCCTGTCCTTTACCTAATACACTCACTCTACAAATACAAAATTAAAATTAAAATTAACACAAATTATTAATTTTATATGCACAAATTATTAATTTCAAATTTTTGTCATGTGCACTAACTACATTTAACGTGTAAAGCTATATACTGATCTCAGCTCCATAAGCATTACTTTCTTACTTCTTTCGATCATATGCCCTTACCCTTTATGGTTTATATAGCTACTCCGATATTTATATTCCATAGTAATTAGATGTATGCGATTAGTGGCTGGCTCATAAAACTATTATATGATCACATTGCTCGTTATTGCCCCTTTTCACAAAATTGGATCTGTTAATGTCTATGTTTTTTAAGATCTAAATTCAATTGTTGGTTCTATAAAATAAATATCACTAAAACGATCCGTTGCATTTTAGCCTCTAACAAAGATGAAATAGTTCTTCTGGCACTGGCAGATTGATCATACATGTTTCCTATTATATGTTCAGTTATGTGGGGCATGCATGCTCAATCCGATCGGCCACTAATCTTAATCTTTGTACTGTTTTCATGGGAAATGGAAACTAAATTTGTTTCAAACTGTATATTGCTAACCTGTGAATCATGCACCTATTAGAGAATGTCGTTAAGGAGAAACGAAATTAAAAAGACGAATGAAAATATCCAAAAGAATATACCATTGAACTTTTGATTATTATAAATCCAAAATCAAAGCATATACCTAATTAGACTACGTAGTATAGTGATGCACTGTCTTAATTATTGCTTTGGTTTCCTAATTAAAGTATCAAAGATTCAAAAACTTCATGCACATGGCATTTGTGTTTTTTTTTTTGTTGTTGTAGCAGTTGAAAGGTAAACAAATTCCGAAGTGCTATGTTGTCATAGGGATCGGGGATCTACACGTATCCGTCACTATGTGAAATCCATAGTGGCAAAAGAAAAACGTGTCCAGTGAAAATGAATAAATTCCAAATGTTTTCATTCTTACATAGGCATATTTGTTTGTAATTGGAAGTTTAACGTTAGTTTCATGGAAGTATTATTACCGCAGAGCCAAAGAGTAAGGTGTAACTTGATTTATTTGTGAAACAAAATTCAAACCTTAGTAGTTGTCGTTTTAAAAAACGATAAATTTAGAAAATGTAAACTTTTTGAAGACTTTAATTTGTTTCGATTGGATCTTAATACCGTCCTTTAGAAAACGAATCAAGAACGAAATCAAGCGAAATATAATTTAATTATATGGCTTCCCACAACATGATGAGTAAGTTTATTTTTCGTCCATGCGAATTTGACAAATATAAAAAATTTAGCAACTATTATTTGTTTCTCTTTATTTTTCACTCGTAAAAGATAAAAAATGACGATCACAGTTAAAACAAAAGATAGAAACCCATGAAAACTAAGCATATACCTGAAATACTTGAAATATACTTAAACAATATCAGTGGTATGTTTTGGATCACACAGCGGATTTGAGAGATTATGTTTTATGACTTTGAGTTTTGGCTAGATCCTAATCTGTAAAACATTATTATTGTTCTATAAGTGTTGTAGATTTTTTTTTTTTTTGCAACTTCTTTTAGGCACCTTTTTGCATCGTTTATGTAAAAGCAGCAAACTAATACCTTTTTTTTATAATAACAAAACTTTAACTAATCGAGAGAGTAGAAGCTGTAGTCAAATTGTGTTTAGTGTATCTATATAGGTGTTAATAGTATGAAAACAGCACTTTTTTCTTCTTAAAAGAACAAGATTACGATGTGGAGATTGTGGGAAGATCTAGCAAGATCAATATGCACTAATCAATTTGGCCCATTTGGTGGTCCGTGTAAAGACACAGAAAAATAATAAACAAAGATGGGATATGTAGAGGAACATAGTGGCAAATACTAATTTGTCACTTGTGGTTATGGACCGGCTTTGGTCTTTCTGCCAAAGGTACATGTGTGCACATTAAGTCACTTCTCACTTCTCATTCTTTACACTATGGAGCAAACACACTCACACATGCACACACATACATTTTTCAATTTTGTATATAACTGGCAAAATTCTTTTCTAAATTCCAAACCATTTTAAAATCCTTTATGCAGACTTCATATCAAATAACAAATACAGCTGAAAAATAGAAAAGATTTAGGAGAAATGTATCACAAGATCAATGAAAACTAGTTTTAAGCTTTGACCATGACACATACATATTCAGCACATATGTCGATATAGGTAGTCTCTTCATATTCACTACACACCACGATTACTAAAGACTTAAATCAAACACGTTTCAATAAACTAATCAGATGTATACCAAATTACCAACATATGAATTAGGTATTGTAACATAATCGTGGGTTTTAACAAAAATCGTTAGAAGTAAATCAAAAAGAGAAATGATTGTGGAAGTGGACTAATTTTTGCTGTTTTTTGTGTGTGTGGAAAGTGGAGTAAACTTAAAAGTCACACTTAGACATGATGATGTTCTCTTCTTCTGTTCCACATTTTTGTTGCTCCCCTTTTTTTTTTTTTTTTTTAACTGTTTCTCTATCACGTTTGCATTTTTTTTATACTGTTTTCTCACTCTCTCCAGTCTCCATCTCCTATTTTTAGAGAAAGACTTGTCTCTTATTATATTAGAAAGATGATTTAATGTTCCGAAAGACTTATCCGTTCACGTAACTTCTCTGCCTCATTGGTAACTAATTCAAGATTCATCTCTTCTTTCTCGGCTTAAACATTTAAAGTACAAACCATTCACTGTGTTGTTGTGTTTGAAATGAATGATATTTCCGAAATTTTTTTACCAAAAAAAATATATATATTTCCGAAATTTTGAGTTTTCTTTCTTTCGGAGTTGAGACCATTTAGTGAGTTTCCTTGTAGTCATGGGCTTGGGCCTGGACAAAGTACTGCATGACTCACCCATCAATTGAATATAAAATAGAACAATATACGAGTTTACCCATCTTAGCCCATTAATAAGAATGAGGTAAAAAAAGAAGCCCACCGTCTGGTGGAGTCGTGGTTTCGAACAACGACCGTTGATCTGTTAAAACTTAAAACCTTATATATTATAGAGGATATCAAATACTAGCATCCACACACGTAATTTGATGTAACACGACAAAACATCGAAAAGGCCAAAAGCCGCAAAACCACAAAGTCACAGGCAACAAAAAGAGCCATGTGAAAAGAAAAACTTACAAAAAACAATTAAATTCAAAATAATATTATTAATAAATCATTACTTCTAATAAAAAAATCAAATCTCGATTCGATTCAATCTATAACAGCTCTTCCATGTTGTAACAAAACGAAATTCAAAGATTCAATAACGCATAAAAACAATACAACAAATTTAAGCAAACAAAAGCTTTTTGTTTTGATAAAAATCACTAGCCATGAGTATTCAAAGCTTCCCAAACCAAGTTCTTAACCACCGGATTAGCCGCATCTCTAGCTTGATAAGCTGCTGTCTTCAAAGTGTTAATAGTCAACACATTTGCTTCAAACCACGACATACTCCTATAAGGAAGATTATGCTTCTTGCAAAGCTCTTGAACCACCGGAGAAACTTTCCGGAGATGGCAACGAGGTAACCGAGGGAACAAATGATGTTCAAGCTGAAACTGTAATCCACCAAAGAACCAATCCATGTATGATCTACAAGAGATATCGATTGTTCCCGCCGCTTGCTTCTCGAACCAGTCGCTACCGGTGGGTGGACCAACGTAGACATCAGCAGCGAAATGGTTAAGCGTGAATTGAATGTGTTGAAGCGCCGTGACGGTGAAGCTTGTGAAGACGAAGAAGAATCTTTCAGGCCAGTTTGGTAGACATGAGACTAAGAGAGGGAACCAAGTCCAGAAGACTAAGATTCCGGCGAAGTTTAAAGCACGATCTGGGACTTTACGTTTGGAGAAGAGCAAGATAAACGTTTGAATGAAGAGATTGATTCTCCCAAAGCACATAACTGGATAATAAGTAAAGTGTTGATAGCTGATCAAGAATCTCGCGACTGGATCAAACGTGAGTTTCCGATCGTAGAATCGTGAGGTCAATGAGTTGAAGAATTTGGTGGAGACGGCGAAGACAGGGATGTGTTGTAGATCTGGATCGTAATCGAGGCTGTTACAAGCTAAGTGATGAGCATTGTGAGTCCATTTCCACCAAGCGATTGAGATTCCGGTGAGACAGTTCCCGGAGAGAAGCTGAGCGAATCTGTTATAAGATTTGTTCGACATGACTACGTAATGACCTGAATCGTGACCTATGTAAGCGCTCTGGATCCAGAGCAGTCCGAGAAGCGCGGCGGCGATTTGGTGAGCGAAGACGGAAGTACAAGCCAAAACACCGTAGAGAACGCCGACGAACATGGCGGCGACGAAGGCTAAAGTGTAGAGAGTAACGTGACCTTTGTTTTCGAAGAGACCGAGTTTACGAAACTCTGCAGCCATACGACGGTAATCGCGTGAGACTTCAGAGACTTGGAAATCTCTGATGTGGTAACCGGTGAAGAGATTGTCGAGATGGTGCCAAGCGGTTCCGGGATGAAATGCGATGAAAGCATCGGTGACGTCTTGACCAACGAGATTGAGAATCACGGTGTCGCCACCGGGATGAGTTTTAATCCAATCGGAGACGTTGTAGACCTTGCCTTGAATCGCGATCCATAGATCTCCAGATTTGTTGTGTTTTCTAAGTTCTTCGTTCGTAATGTACTTTTTCTCCGTCTCTTCCGCCATTGATAACGAACCAAAAGCTCAGAGATCCGATGAACAGAGAGAGAAGATGAACCTCTCTCACGATTTGCTTTTTCAAAATTTGAAAGAGCTTGAGATTATTAGAGAAACACCAACCTTTGTTTGCCCAGGAATGGATCTGGAATCGGATTTTGAATCGAATCTCTCTCTCGCCGCTTATCTCTTCGACTCCTTCCTTATCCTCCTTTATAGTATTATAGGTTTGTTTTATATTTACTGTTTTTTTTTCTAATTAATATTGAATTTTTGGAGACCGAAATTACGTGGCTAAAGCGTGCCGACGTCAGTCGTTCCCACGTGTGGGGCTTTTTTTAAGAATTAAATACTCGGTTTGATGTTGATTTTGGTGGTATCAGAAGTGGTAAGAGGGACCATTATTGGGAAATTAAGAAATGGTTAGTTATGGTAATTGTAAAGGAGGAAACTTAGTGGTGTCCCTCGTAGTAGTAATCATCAAAATGCAAGACAGACCACGTGTTACGTTAGATATTTTTCTCTACGCTGTCATTGGTTGGTGCCCGTCAATTTTTTTTCCTACGCTCCAAAAGGTAGTAATGTCAACATTAACAAAAAAAAAAAAAAACAGAGTATCACCAAAGGCCAAAACTGAAAAGAAAAGTATCCTAAAATTGTGGTCAATATTTTTTTGTTGGTTGTAGCATATATATGGTGACATAAAAGCATAATTTAAATTTAAATCTATCGATGCAAAATTTAAAATTGAACCATATGGTTTCAGCCACGATACATATTGATGACTTTTGGCATATTCCGTTTATGTAGAAAAAGATTTCTGAATGCAACTAGCACCGTCCCTGTTGTCCAACTGCTTCTCAAGACTTGGTCTCAAAGATACACAGCTGTGTTCTCCTCCGTATCTTTTTCTGGTTTTTGGTTAACTCTTCCAAGATATTTTTTTCCTCATTAAGATCTACTATAATATATTGTATTTAACTTCAACAAAAACAATTATTGCTTTGTTTTCAAGTGAGAAATTTATTCAGGGAAGGACCAAAAAACTTTATAAAGTCAGATAAACACACATTAGTATATATTATAAATAAACTACAAATTAAATAGCAAATGGGAGGGAAATTCCTCAACTAGGAAACTTAAAGGAGACTTTTTTTTTTAGTTAAGGAATATAAAGAGGACTTGGGAAAGCAGTGGGAAGATGGTTATTACTTTAATATGTATAGGAGATATTTCTAATGTCACTTTTGTTTTTACTAAAAATTATAAAATTTATACGTTTCGAAGCCTACCCGCGTTAAAAATGAAAATTGGTGCACATGAAAATTGGTACAACTCTTAAATAAGTTTTTTTTTTTTTTTTTTTCTAGAAGATCATAGTTTCGAATGCCAATTTTGTAGAAGAGCTACTTTGAAATTTTGATGTTCGGTGAAATGAAATTAGACCTATAGGCCTACGTGACTGGTTGGAAAAAGAGCCTTAATCTGAAACCCACTCCAAAAGGGCCCTAATTAGACCTCTATATGTATACATCAAAGTTAGAACTTAGAAGGCTTCTCTCTCTTTTGCTTGCAGTTAGTCGAAGAACAACAATTAACAAGTAGCAGAACCTCCTTAGTCTCGCCGATTAATAGTGTCTGCATGTTCGATTGTAATTTAAATTTTGATATTTTCATTGATTGCAGTGTATCAAAAGATCTCAAAGTCATCTTTGCAAAGCACATCTTTGAGTTAGTCTAACCTTTGAGGCTAAGATATACATACATATACTGACATACAATTACAACCTAAGAGAGAGGTTACACTAAACTTAGAATATACGATATATGGAAATTATCTCCTAATAGTTCATAACCGTTGATTTAGTAAAACATGTACGGGCTTAAAAGGGACGGTCTATTACAATTGAGCTCTCAGATTGTATAGCTATTATTTCCTTTCAGTTTTTGTATCGTCCTGTTATATATGTGAGTTTTCCATTTTCTAATATGTTAATGTTAATTTCTCCGGTTTCTAAAATGTAAATAATGTAATTCTTTTCCATTTTTTGTTTATTCCGTTGTTTCTGTCCCATCTAATATATGAACCTGTAAAGCCTTAAAACTTGATATATATATATATATATATATATATCACATTCAAATTTGATAATTCATTATATCTTTTCTCTCTTTCACGTTTCTCTTATAAAAAATGACTACCGAAGATGATGTTTTGAGGATGAGGCAGGAGAGGTTGATGGAGATGTCGGAGAAATTGTTGAACCTAATGGATTATGCTGAGTCACAAGTTGAAAGGTTTAAGGTGATCTTGACATCGCGTGACGATCCAGTCGCTTCGTTTTGTGCGGTGGTCGTCTGTCTTGTCGTTTGCTTGGTTCCGTTACAGATTTGGTTTTACGTTTTGCTCCTCAGTTGGCCTATTTCCCAGTTTCTTCGCAGCGACTTGCCCAGTAAAATCAACAACTTCTTCAAAAGATTACCACCGACCAACGAAGAGCTCGACTTGCCCAGTAAAATCAACAACTACTTCACAAGACTGCCGCCGACCAACGAAGAGCTCATGTCCTGACAACTCTGAAAGGCGGTTTCTAGGCCTTGTGTATTTAAAAGATTTGGACATCTCATATTTATGGTTTTTAAAAGCCCATTAATAATAACTGCTAGGAGTGATTTTGTTTCAAAACGTAACGATTGAGATAATTAATGAACAATTTTTTTATTTCAATTCCAAATCCCTCTCTTCTACGTTTCTCTCTGACCGGGAAACAAATCACTCATTCCGATCAAAACATTTTTTTTTTCTTTTCAAATTCGATTTTCTTTTAAAGTCTTTCCGACGAAGATTCATGTCTCTTTGATAGATAGAGAAGGAATCTGTGTTTCTGTGGGGTTTTGAGGCAACAGTAGGTGTTGAGACAGAGATAGAGAGCTATGTGGAGTTCAATTGAGAATTTTAAGGAGAACTTGCACAAGATCGCGCTCGATGTGCATGAAGACGATGACGAGGAAGACGATCTCCAAAGCTACGGTTACGCCAATGGCGTATCGGAATCTGATCGGAGGAAGTCCAGTGGTTTTAGGTCCTCCAGGTCCGCGATCTCCAATGGAATCGAATCGCCTGCTCATCATGAGGTATTTGCTCAGAATTGGAGAAATTTCCTGCTCGATTTTATAGATTAAGCATCCGAATTTCCTGCTCAAAATCTGTGATATGCGAAATGTAGTTGGTGTAGAGATAAGTTTTGATTGTTGTATAATTCAATTTTTGTATAAATTTTAGATTGAGCGGTATAAGGCAGAGATTAAGAAGCTTCAGGAATCTGAAGCAGATATCAAAGCCTTATCAGTGAATTATGCAGCTCTCTTAAGAGAGAAAGAGGTAAATTTGTGACACAATCTTCAAAGCCAATCTCTTCTTACATCAGAAAACAATACGGGATTATTTACAGGATCAGATTTCAAGATTGAACCAGGACAATGGTTCATTGAAACAATATCTGACCTCAACTAGTGCCGCTCTTAAAGAGGCTAGAACTGACATTTCCAGGGGATCAAACAACTATGCTATCAAGGTAGCCACTTCTTATTTTTGTTTCATCTCTATGCGATTTCATGCGCTGCAATACATATTATTTTAGGGAGGATGCAACTACTGTAATGTGTGAAGCATGTTTGGCATGGAACGCATTATTGCTAGGATTGGTTATATGCTTAGTTTATTAGTGGGGTTTACTAGGATAGAAAGCTTATCATGAGATCAAATATAATATCAAGATTCAAGGAAGCTGGATATTAAGAAAGTTTTGTCAACATCGCTATCTCAGATTCGTCTATTTGTTGATTTTGCTTAGAGATGCGTTCTTGCATGAAGGTCTTAAACTATTGAATTAATCTGTCATCTTCTCCAGGGAAACAATGATCAGTCACCCAATAATAGGCTACACAAATCTGTGTCATATTTAAAAAGTCCAAATCATATGTCAAATGGAAAAGGGAAGGATACCGATTCGTATATAAAGGAAAAGGTAACACTACATGTTTATTTACATTAACTTAAAATAATAGCTTTGTGGTCTTGAAATTGGTTGGTTTGGCGGATACATACTTCTGAGTTTCTGAATTTCTTTAGGTACATCTTGTAATACATAAGTAACCGTTTTCAGCACTAGTGTTAGTGTAGTGCCTTTTATTGTTCTGCAATGTTCTCGTTTGGTAACTACCATATTATAAGCGATAATCTGGATGTCCTTTTAGGACCTTGCAGATACGCTAGAAGATAGAACCAAATCAATGGCAGCTGTTCAAGCTATGGAGCTTGCCAAAGAGCGTGAAAAATTAAGAGATCTGCAGCTATCTCTGCAGGGTATATAATATCACTAGTAGCTTGGTGCTTCTTTTGTATCTCTGTTATCTAGTATTCTCACTTACCTTACTTTCATCAGAGGAGCGGAAAAGGAGTGAATCTTTCAAGGAGGAACTCGAGTCAATGAGGTTAGATAAAAACAAAGTAAGTCTTGCAGTTAGAAAAGAGACACTTTATGTATTCAGATAGGAATCACCTTCTTGAAGTTACAATTTTCTTATTTTCTGTTTGCAGACCTTCATGGAAATTAGCAAAATGCGTAGTGAATTGGATGCAAAATTACTTGAAATCAAACACTTGCAGATGAAGTTGAATGGTCGGGAAAGCCATGCTATTGGAAATGCCATGGAACATCTAAAAGAAGTTAACAAAGCTCTGGAGAATGAAAACAACGAGCTTAAGGTTTATTGTGTTCCATACTGCTGAATGGTTTTGCAAGCAAAAATTTCCCATTCACTAACTATGTGTATGTCTACTTTGACTTTTGGAATCTGGAACCGAATCTGATCTGCTTTTTCATCACTTCATAGTTGAAACGAAGTGAGCTAGAAGCTGCTTTAGAAGAAAGCAGGAAGCCAACCAGTAGCAAAGTCTTCCCGGACGCCACAGAGACTCGGACTAGGCATCCTAGTACTTTGGACAAGGTTCTTAACCCAGAAGGGACTTTATTTTAAACGCATTTTGCATTGCTTTTCTTTTAATGTGGAGCAATTTTTTTCCTTCCATATGCCTTTTCCATATTTAACTAGGAGAAGCCTGAAAGCTTTCCTGGAAAAGAAGAAATGGAGCAATCCCTGCAGAGGTTGGAAATGGATTTGAAGGAAACACGACGAGAAAGAGATAAGGCACGGCAAGAATTAAAACGGCTCAAACAGCACTTGCTAGAAAAGGTTAGTAGCTATCGTAAAAGCTAATTTTTTACTTAATCTATTATTGTGGGACATGGTTCCATATGTTGCAGTATTAGCTTTTGGATCATTAATTTGCAAATTATTTCGTTTTCTAGCTTCTAAGATTGTTATGAATTCAGTCTAAACAATGTTTTCTTGATAATTTTCTGTGAAGATAATTGAAAAGTGTGTTCTTTGCCATAATTTCACAGGAAACAGAGGAGTCTGAGAAAATGGATGAAGATAGCCGACTGATTGAAGAACTCCGCCAGACTAATGAATATCAAAGGTCTCAGATATCACAGTTCGAGAAAAGTCTTAAGCAGGCCATCGCGAATCAGGAGGATAACAGATTGAGCAATGACAACCAAATCCGAAAGTTAAAGGAGACAGTTGAAGACCTAAATCAAAAACTTACAAATTGTTTGAGAACAATCGAGTCCAAGAATGTTGAAATTTTAAATCTTCAAACTGCTCTAGGCCAGTATTACGCTGAAATCGAAGCTAAGGTTGGAATTAGGAAATTCAAAATCTTTCCTTTTTTATTCTTACACTCAATTTATCAATGTATTCGTATTCATTTTGTAGGAGCATTTTGAACGAGAGCTCATGATGGCTAAAGACGAGTTGATGAAGCTTTCTGCTCGTTTGAAAGTAGGAATATAACTATCTTTCCCTTTATTAAGTACAACCTGCCATAACGATATCTGTCTGATGCTATGTTACGGTTGCTGAAGGATTCTGATGAGCGGTTAGAGTCATCAAATAAAGAAAAGGAAGATGTCACATCCAAATTGTTGCATGCGGAAAAAGTGGCAGCGGAATGGAAAAACAGAGTAAGCAAGGTTGAAGAAGACAATGCAAAAGTACGACGTGTTCTTGAGCAGAGCATGACAAGGCTTAATAGAATGTCAATGGAGTCGGATTATCTTGTTGATAGGTACACCATTTATCACTTCGTATATATGGTTTCGAATTCGATTATCCTGTCTGAATTAGGTGTCTGATGCAATGATGAACCAACATGTGTCTTCGCAGGCGAATTGTTATCAAATTGCTGGTTACATACTTCCAGAAGAATCATAACAAAGAGGTAATAAACATTGATATTATTCTGAAATCCCGTTTTCACATATGAGAAATGTCTCTGATTTTACTCAGTTGTTTCATTGCTTTCGCCTAGGTTTTGGACCTCATGGTTCGGATGCTAGGATTCTCAGAGGAAGATAAAGAGCGGATTGGAGCGGCACAAGGTGGTAAAGGTGTTGTTAGAGGCGTATTGGGCTTTCCGGGTCGCTTTGTCGGCGGAATTTTGGGTGGGAAATCTGCAGAGTCACATGCTAATGCGGCTTCTGATAACCAGGTAAAAATTCTCCATAACATAATGAAGTACTGATCCAGTGGCTTAGAAACACCGGCATAGAATCAATACACAGAGCCAAGTTTCACTAAGAGAGATATTGTTGAGTATTTTTTTTTTTTTTTTGGAATTTGTATTACAGTCTTTTGCGGATCTATGGGTTGATTTCTTACTCAAAGACGCGGAAGAGCGAGAGAGAAGAGAAGCAGAAGAAGCAGCAGCGAATAAAGCCAAGCAAGATTCGGAGAGGACAAGACAAGATGCGGCTTTGTATGATTCAGAGTTCTCTACTGTGCCTCTCAGATCATCTGAGAATAATCAACGACTCTCGAGATAACTTCCTTAAAAGATGGTACATAGATACATTATACATACTTACATTTAAAATAGGAATTCGAATCTCTATCGTCTCTTTTGTTGTAATTATGATCTCACACCTTTGTTTGTTCGTTAATTTTCTTTTGTTGATGTACGCTGCTGACTTTTGATGGAAAGTTTGAATGAAAAATTACATCAGCTGGTACTGTGATTTTCTTTGTGAAGTAACAAAATTATTTCATTTTTATGAAAGGCTTACCATTCCATGAGGCATGAGCTAACGACTAAAAGAAATACCATACTAGTTACTAAATCGGCATTCACATAAATCATTTGAAATCATTTCCCACGAAAAAAAGGTGCAAGTCAAAATTAGAGAAGGGAAAGCACAGAATAACATATTTTCTGAAGTAAAAAATAAAAATGCCCCAAGACACAAAGCAAAACGTCAAGAGGAAAGAGAATAAGGAGAGAGAGAGGGAGGTTGCTTCACTCTAAAGTCTCTAACCCAACTTTGCCTTAAGGGAAGCAATAGGAAGCTTAGAAAGAACCTTCTCATCGAACACCATGTAATGTTTCTTCAGCTCCTTCAACGTCTTCTCTGCAACTGGATCTACCTTGTCCTCATGTTTCTCATACAACATTGGTACTGTATGCAACACCACAAAACCTTTTTTTTTCCACACAGATGGAGATAATTTCAGATTCAAACAATCGAAAAGACAAAAACTTTACACACCAAAAAACATTTTCTATCGGTACAAACACTTACAGATGTATAGCAGAGTCAAGAAGTTGAACCAGTTTCCCACGACAGAGATTATCCACAGCCCAACAACCACCTGACATACCAAATATATACACTAGTTCTTGTCACAAAACCCATGACAGAGCAGGATTCATGTGTAGATTGAACAAGTTCTTAACTTAGGCATACAACAATAGCATTTTCTTCTGTTAACTGAAAAATATCTACAAAACGAATTCGAACACAAACATACCATCAGAAATTTTTTCAAGTCCCTTCCTAAGGCAATGCTCCTTAGAATAACAAAGGCTTGGTTCAGCTCGTTTCTAAGTGCAGAAACAATCATAAGAAAATGTTCCTCTTTAATATGGATTTCAGGTATTTTAGGTGGAGTCCTGAAAATAAAAGAATTTTGGAACCTTTAAGCAAAGCAAAGAAAGAGATACATATAGGTTGTAACTTGAAACATGGCAACAAAAAGCTTACTTGTTCATAAAGGCATGAGCATTGGACAATAAAAACAGGGCTCCGAGAGCAAATATCAAAATGTGACACACAAGACTCAAGAAATGATACTCAACCAGTTCAAACAGAACCCATATCGCAGTTGCTACACCAAGAACAGAAGCTGAGAGTTTTTTATCCCTCCACAAGAACACATCAGCGGCTGCAAACAGAATTTAAAACCAATAAAAAAGGTAACAAATTGTGAAAAGGAAAATTTGCAAACTATAAGATAAATCATAGCAAAACAGTTATATCAACAAACATAATCAATCCTCATATAGCAGATCAAGCATCGACGAACGATTAACAGAGGAAAGAAATAGACAGAGATTAGAAGAAAACGTACGTAATCCACCACCGAGAACCTTGTGAACAGGCTTTTCTCTACCAAACAACCGATATATTTTGGCCTTCAAAGCTGATGGAGACTCTGGTTTCTCGTGCTCGGAATCAGACGACGACGAAGAATCGTGATCGTGGATCTTCTCAGCGATCTTATCCATCAGAGATTCTTCCTTCGGCATAGATTTCTCCAATTCTTCCGCCATTGTCGTTTACTTTTACCCGATTTCGATCCAACGTGATGAGAAAGTTATTAAGGTAGAGAGAGAGAGAGAACGAATGGTGAAATAGGTTTTATTAGGCGACTTATGAACGAGCCTTTAGATTCGGGACCCGAACCACAAAGATACGTTAACGGCGTTAGTCTTTTTTAAAGAAAGGAATAAACGGACGTCAGCGTTTAGTGCCTTGAACGTGGAGGCAACCAAAGGATCCAAAGGCCTAGTGGGCCTGGTGCGCTGTGTCGTCTTTTTTACTTACATAAAGTAACCGACAAGCGTAAGAAAATTCTGTACACGTGGCACTCATCGGTTCACTGAAGATTAATATCAACGGCTCACTCGTTTTCAAAAAAAAAAGCGGTGGATAAAACGACGCCGGGCCAACATTTCGTGAGTGAGAGTGGGAAAGTCTCTACCTCAGTTAGAAAACATATGTTTAAGTCAACGTTACCAATATTTAGGGACATTATTGTTCAAATCTCAAGTTCCAACTAATTTGTTCCCATCTCTAGAGACATTCATCTTCGACAATTAATCTAATCTAATTAGATTATTTACATATTTGACTTTATAGTCCAAATCTCGATTAGCTAACTAAAATATAAGAAGATGCATGCAACAGTAATTTTTTATGAAAAAAAAAAAAAAAAAAAACAGTAATTTTTATGTTTGTTTGATACAAACTTTTAAATACATGACAAAGAATATGTAAAGCAAATCAATAAAATACCAAGAAAAAAAGATATTATAATAAATGCCACGGAGCAAAAAAAAAGAAATGTTTTATCTTCTGGATCTCCTCCGATCGGCGGCGTATTGAGACAACGGCACAACTTCCGACAAAGGAGTTGACTGCGGCGTAGATTGCGGCGTCGGAAGTGGAGAATTCCGGCAAACGGGACAAGAACCATTGAGCTTAAGCCAAGCGTCAAGACAATAAACATGGAAGTAGTGTTTACACTCAGGCATCATCCTTAACATCTCTTCTTCCATATACTCACATAGACAGATCGAACACGTCGTATCTCCTCTTTCTCCGTCGTGAAATCCATCTCCGTCGACGACGGCGGTGATATCTTTAGTGAAATGGAATTTAGGGTAAGAGTTGATGATTGAATGATCAAGTCCTCCAACGACGACGTTTCCAGACTCAAGATCGTCGTCTTCAGCTACGAATATGATTCTTGGGACGATTACGCTACGGTCTCTAAAAGATGCGTTAGCGTTAGCGGTTGCGGCGGAGGCAGAGAAGCGAAGGCGTGAGGCGCGGCAGCAGATGTAAGAAGAGAGGATGATTGTGGAGATAAGAACGAGGAAACCTAGAGCTATGGCTATGGAGTAGCCAAGGCCGAGGCTAGTTATATAGGTAGGGATAGGGACAGGAGGCGGAGGAGGAAAGACGGCGGCGGCGGTTGACATTTGATGGTGAAGAAAGAGGTTAGGGCCATGTGGGATTGGCGTCGAGAGAGAGAGATGGGAAAAAGAGTGATTGAGGAGGTGGGTGGGGAAATGTAGCTACGGCATTGAATACAATGTTTGGCAAATATTAATAGCTTTGCATTTATTAGGTTTCTTGTTATAGGTTTTGTGAATAGTGACTTCACTTAGTAGTGTGGCCCAAGGGAGGTCAAATTTTCTAGTCTTATTTAGTTTAAATGTTTGAGCCGTATGACATTGGACATGTGTGATCTTTTGTTGTTGTTTGCCTCTGTAGCTATTTTCGTTTCATCATTCAAGATCTTATTGAGCAATGAGCAGAGAGTAGTATCTTATCGTAAGATTCTTACGACTTCTAAGTTCATTCTGTTATAGGAATAAAAACAAAAAAAAAAAAAAGCAAAAAATCTCCGTTGCCGGGACTCGAACCCGGGTCTCTCGGGTGAGAGCCGAGTATCCTGACCAGCTAGACTACAACGGATTTTGCTAAACCAACTTCGTATATTATTTAAGTAGTATCGGACATTTACATTCTCGCGCTCACCTGCGAAGCTTTGCACGAACACTAAATGGAAAGGAAACTCAAAACTTGAAAGACTTTTCTTTATTCATTCTCTTTCTTTTTACTCACTTAATTCTCAAAGAAGGTACAAAGAAGAAAACCACAAGTCACAAAGCTTCGACTAGTACAAGGAATCAAAACTCAAAAGAGAGGCTTTTTCCCATTAATCATTCCCAACAAATGATCAATAATTTGTCTTCCAGCATCACGAAGACCCGAATGCATAAACTCATTCGTTACCCAAAGCCTGATACCCGAAATCTGAGAAGCTGTTTCTGTCACTAGCTTGAAGTTTACATACATATCTTCGTAGTATACCGCTGCAGCAACAGGCACCTACCGAAAGGAAATCATGTGAAAACAGAGTACATTGTTTGATCCATACGAAAGAACGATGAAGATTCTGAGACAGACCTTGTTATTCTGTAATCTAGGAACATCATATAATGGAGGCCAATCCTCTTTCTTGGCCAAAAGATCGGCGGCAGCTTTAAATGGCTTCAAGGCATGAATCTCATCAAACATCCATGGAAATATCATCTATACAAATCCCAATTCTATTTTAGTTTAGCAATGTGAACCAGTCATCCAAGCTATGAGCTATTAACCATACAATTAGAAATACTCGAAACCTGTACCTCTCCTGTGAAGAGTACAGGCTGACTTTCTTTGACTGCCTTCAGTACGTCGAATTTGTACTCATATTTATCCCGTAATCTATGAGCAGACCATCCTGATGAAGCACCCTGAAAAAGTTTCCAATTAAACATAAACGATAACAAGAAGAAGCAATTGTATGAAATGGAAAAGAAGATGAGGAATTTGAAGAGACTATACCTCACAGTATATGGCCTCGTGGAGAAGAGCATATAGTGGATTTGTATCAAAAGAATGCCAACTCTCAAACTGCAGCAACGATAAAATGTCTCAGACTATTGATCCATCTTTGAACAGATACTCGAAAACAACAAATTTTTGTGGGTCTCTTACAGCGTTTAAGAAGAACTGACTAATACGCTTTGGAGCTCCAGGAACTAAAATAGGATCCCATACTCTCTCCAACCTGTGATCAATTAAGAAGGCAAGACTTAACACACGACATGTGAGGTGATTGATAAACATTATTAACCAAGCTAAACTCTTACATATAATGCAGGCGCTCAAAACCAGTACTTGATCCTAAACCAGAAAGACCAAGAGTTTGAAGACCCTTAGGAGTGAGAATGCCTCCTGATGGAAGAGGTACCTAAATACAAATAACAGAGAAAGGTAAGGAACTATACTAAACTATACTAACTGGTCTGTGGATTTTGTAAATGTTGTAATCCCTCACCCCGCCACCTTCAGATTCAACCAAGTACTTTACGATTTCGCGAACAATCTCAATGTCTTCAGGGAATCTCTGGTAGTATTTCTCGTTTTGGCGAGCAACTTGTTCAAAACCGGCTTCATACACATCATCTGCTGTACATGTTTTGCCAATTGGTGGGATTCCTCCAGTTATTAGCACTTGTTTAAGTCCTTCTGGCGCAAAGCTCAAATAAGTAAGTGCGCAAAAGCCACCAAAACTCTACAGAGACAACAATTGAAACAAAATGATGAACAAGTAATCAAATGACAAGAACTGATGCAGAGTAACTGGACAATACAGAGACAAACTACCTGACCCAAAATTGTCCACGGATCAGCATTAGGAACAAGACGAACTCTAATAAACTCAGCATCCTTAACTATATTATCAGCTCGAAAGTGAACCAAATAATCAGCTAAATCCTTGGCTGATTTGAATTGAAGCATAGAGGAAGATGTTAAAGGAGTTGACAAGCCTGTTCCTCTCTGGAATACCAACAAAATTATAGCAACACAAAGACTAAAAAACACTGTCCAGAGAAGAGCATAAAACTATATAAAGTATCATACTTGATCAAGTAGGATAACGCGAAACTCCTCACAAGCTCTTTGAATCCATCCACTAGCTTCACTAGGCCTTGGACCTTCAAATCCTGGACCACCTTGTAAATACAATAAATACGGCATTGCTTGTTCCTCTTTCCCTACTACAAAAACAAAGACACAAATATTTAGCTTCGTAATCACAGAAAGACTTCTGAACCAAAAAGCTCCAAATTTTAAGTTACCCGCAACGATTTCTCGAGCGAAGACGGTGATCTTAGGAGAAGTTTTGGAATTGAAGGAATAATCAAGAGGAACTATGAACCGGTGGTCACGCAATCGGAGCTCCGGCACCGAAAACCACTTTCCTGTGACATGCTCCGGCCTCGATTCCCCAGCTATCTCGACGGAGACGGATTCTGCTCCAGCCATGGAAGTGATTACACGACAAAATCTCCGGCGACGATAGAAATTGATAAAACCCGGAACTGAACCAGACGATTTCGATGGAGTAGTAGATAAAGAGAGTACGAAAGCAGTCAACTTTGGAATCGGAGTCACCAGCGCGTGAGTCGCCAACATCGTTTTTATTCAATTTTTCTTTTTAGAGAATCCAAAAGCAGAAGAAAAGTCTTTAAATTTAAAATTAATTTCAGGTTCGAATTCCAAAATCGCTTTCATCAGCAACAACAATGGCTGCTTCGCTCGTCAGGAGTTGCTCTCGTGCTTCGAGGGCCATCACCACCGTCCGGTTTATGAGCAACGTACCGGAGAACACGGTTTACGGAGGACCGAAATCGCAAAACCCGAATCAGAGAGTGACTTTGACGCAATTGAGACAGAAGCATCGGAAAGGTGAGCCGATAACTATGGTCACCGCCTATGATTATCCGTCTGCCGTTCACATCGATACAGCCGGAATTGATGTTTGTCTCGTCGGAGATTCAGCTGCCATGGTTGTTCATGGCTATGACACCACTCTTCCTATCTCCTTAGACGAGATGCTTGTTCACTGTCGCGCCGTCGCTCGTGGAGCCAAAAGACCACTTCTCGTTGGCGATTTGCCATTTGGTACTTATGAATCTAGCACCAATCAGGTGAATAATCTCGAAAGTTGGATGCTTTGTTTCCAATTCACAACCCGAATGATCCATTTGATATGACCATCAAATTTGCTGTTGTTCGAGCAAAGCATCGATTTGGTTGATTAAGATTTAGTTTCAATGATGTTCAGGCGGTTGATACTGCAGTAAGAGTGTTGAAAGAAGGAGGAATGGATGCTATTAAACTTGAAGGAGGATCACCTTCAAGGATCACTGCTGCAAAATCCATTGTGGAAGCAGGAATTGCTGTTATGGGACATGTTGGGTTGACTCCTCAGGCTATCAGTGTTCTTGGTGGTTTTAGGCCACAGGGCAAAAACATTGCTAGTGCTGTTAAGGTCTGGCTATAAGGGTTCATGCATGTGTATGTAATCTACTAATCCTATGAGGTTATTTTTTTGGTGTGTGATGAAATTGTTTTCTCTCTTATTTGGTGGGATTAGGTTGTGGAAACTGCAATGGCTTTGCAAGAAGCTGGATGTTTTTCGGTTGTTTTAGAATGTGTTCCGCCTCCTGTGGCTGCTGCTGCAACCTCTGCTCTTAATATTCCAACCATTGGCATAGGAGCTGGCCCTTTCTGCAGTGGTCAGGTTCGTTTTGACACTCTTTACACTGGCTTTTTTCGGTTTCATGTGCTTATATATGCTCTGATTGAATAAACCATATTCTCAATTATTGGCCTTTTTGCATGATTAAAGAGTAAGATCAGCACAAAAAGAGTGAGTTATCTACTACTATTCTGTTCAAGTATGTCCCATATTTCTTGTGGATGCAGGTTTTAGTTTACCATGATCTTCTGGGAATGATGCAGCATCCACATCATGCTAAGGTCAAATCCTGGACCAATCATATATCATCATGCTTCTTCCTGTATTTATGATTCATTATCTCATAGTTTCCGCTGTGCTGCATCCCTATACTTTTTCATTTTCAGGTTACTCCAAAGTTTTGCAAACAGTACGCTCAAGTAGGAGAAGTGATCAACAAAGCCCTCTTAGAGTATAAGGAAGAAGTATCTAAACACTTGTTTCCAGGTCCTTCTCACAGCCCTTACAAGATCGCCTCAAGCGACCTCGACGGATTCTTAAGCGAGTTACAGAATCTGGGCTTAGATAAAGCTGCTTCTGCTGCAGCAGCATCAGCTGAAAAGATGGAGCCTTCAGATTCATCATCTTCTCAGTGACAAAGCTGTACCAATTCGCTTAGCTCTTCATTTTGAGTAGGCAGGCAGATCTGGTTCAAGAAATAAAAATCCTTTAATAGGATAGTTTTTTGCGGGTAAACTTAGTGTAATCCATAGGAGCTATTTCATGAGTTGAGGGTGGTGGCTTGATTAATAAAACAATGAGGATAATGTTTTGATGAAAATAAAATTTCGTCCTCGTTTTGTAATATTGTAAAGGTTTTTTGTTTGGGCCAAAATAAGTGTGGAAGCCCATTATTTCAAATGGGCCCAACTTCTTATTCGTTGAATCCGCCGAACAGAGTTCGTCTTCTCTCACTTATTCCCGGTGGCCGTCTGTTTCAAACCTTGACGATGAGTATCGTGCTATCGATTTCCCGGCGCCGGCACTCTTATATTCTGCTCAACCAGTTCCGATTAATCCGCTGTTTTTCTGATGAAGTTGACCCACGGCCAGAAATCAAATCGGAGAGCCAGGAATTTGTAGTAGTCAAGTTTTTGAAAAATCTTCAAAAAATCCCGCAACATGATTGGGCGTCGAGTGAATCGCTAAGTTCGCTACTCGTATCTTCTTCTTCT